GCTTTAATTTAATGCCTCCTCTGTGTTTAAGAGAGTGCTCAGCAGGTCATAAAGGCAAAGAAAGCATTGGAGGAAACCTAAACTGAACATTTTCCATCTGACCTTTACTCTATAAGATGTCTGTTTCATTGGGTTGATTTCATAGAATAGCTCATCATCCAGTCATCTAAGATATACATGACTTATTTTCTTCAGCAGGACCTTAAAGAATATGTTTAGCTCAATCTGTAGTCTTTGATGATTCACAAAATTAATGGCTACTGGTACTTTGAGAGTCAAAAAAATAAAACTATATACAGGCAAAACTAAATTAATATCCATAGCTGCTGCTGCTGCTGCTAATGATGATGATGATGATGATAAAGCACAGAGGTCTTATAAAGTGAAATGATTGGTCTGGGGAAGAAACCGAAGCTGAAATCTAAATAAACAGTAAGACTGTGTTACTATTCCTAATCAGGTAGAATTTTTTTAATAACAAATTTCAATGTTCATGCTAAAAATGATTTGCTAAGACAATAATTTTGTAAATAACATTTAATTTCTTGCACAGACTGATTGCTTTGGTTAATAAGAGATATGGCCAGACGATTAATCAGAAATAAACTAAACTTCACAGCCTATAACATAATTTTCACATGTTTGGCATCCCATTCAAAAATGCATTACAGTGTGTGGACAAACTGAGAGCTTTCGACATTGCAGTGAGTACACATTTCATATGCAACCTGACAAAAAAAAAGAGAATGCGAGTCTTTCATACACCAGGTAAATCTTATTTTTTTTTGGTGGTTTATTTGGTATTAGTTAGCAACAGGCCTGCGGGGCCGTGCTCCAGTGTCATCTGTATTCTCCCTTCAGTAAATCAGTTCAAGTAAATGCAGACAATGTATTTAATATTCAGAAGCCTAGTTAGTTCTTTTTATTTATTTATTTTTTTACTGAGCTATAATATGTTAAGCATCACTAAGCATTAATAAGCACTAAGCATTAATAAGCACACTTATTAATATGTAATAATGTATAATAATATCAAGCATCATTTCCTTCAGCTTATTCTTCAAGTTATAAGGGGTCACCTTAGCAGAATGAACTCCCAGGATAAGAAAGTTTTATTAAATAAACTATATTTAAAAAACTTAAACAGTAAATATATAACTCACTGATGTTTTGTTAAAACTTTCAAAAACTAAAACGTTTTGTTTGCAAGATGCTGTTCATTTCCCATTTTGACAATAAAATATTCAATTATATTAATTTAAGGTATTTTCTATTTTTAATTAATCTTGTCTTTTACATTAAAACTGAATTGTGACCTTTCTTCACATGACTTCAAATTCAAGCAATGTGTGCTTTGATATCTGTTTGAAGAGTTCGTCAAATAGCCAGAAATAGTTTGTTAATTAAACATTATAAAAAAATAGAAACATGCTTAATTAAAAAAAACTTAGTTAGGAGAATATTAACATACACTGAAAGAAATGACCTTTTAGTGAAAACTAATAAATTGACTCTCATCATTTTTAAATTGTAATATTAAGTCTCAAGGATAACTAAAATTTTCTAAGTACATATTTAATATTTCCACATTTACTTTATGTAATAAATGAAATGAGTGTAAAGAGTTATTAATATTCATTCACTCGTAATATTTAAATATTTTCTAATCGTCGCAAACCTAAAATATGAAGTAAGTTTTGATAATGGATGTTGCAATGGATAGTTCTCAGCATGCTTTGCAAGGGATTGAATTAGAAGAAAAGTATTTTGAAAAAAAAGAGCAATCTTAGGTCTCTAAATTTGAGAGAAAGACTTGTAAGAGTTTAATCTTCATTAGTTTGTAGATTAAGAAGACTGTTGAGTATGTAGTTTTAAGGTTGCCACCTTGCAAAAGAGCAGCACTTATGCTTTGGGTCTTGGCATTTTTATTATCAGCATTAAAGTTTGATGCTTTACTCAGAAAATCATAGATGTGCCAACACTAGCGCTGACATCAGTAAGCATTTATAAAGTAAATGTACTCTTGTTAAATAAATTTGCTTCAACTAAAGTGAAATAACACATTTTAAGTGAAGATGTGTGCCTTAATTAAACCAAGTTGCACCAAATGTACCAATTTGTAACTAATAAGTTTTATTTAAATTAATACAAGTAACGTTCCTTCTGATAAAACAAAAAAATGACATTATGGTTCAGTTAAATAAATAAAGACTCAAAAGTAAAGATAATCATTTAACTTTTACTTAATGTTTAACCTAACACTCCTAAATAAATTACGTAGATTTTACATGCTATTGACAAGTTAATTGTATCTGATATAAGATTGTAAATTTTACTTGATATTTGCTTGTGCAAACTGTTACAAGTATTTTTTAAGTAAATCTTAAGTTATTTTTTCAGTGTACTATGAGAGGAAAAAGTAAATAGAAATAATAATAAAATAAAATAATCATTCAATAATCAAAACCGAGATAAAGCCTTACGCAAGAAATGCAAGAGCCATGCATCTTTGTGACTATGTTTTTTTACCCTCAAAGTGCCAGTAGCTGTTGACTTGGATTTTCTGAACCCCAGTAAGAGCTAAAAATTGTCTTTATTGTTCTACTGAACATCATGGGTGACCTGAAGATGAGTAAAATTAACTTCTCATATTTGTATTTCTGGATAAAGCATCCCATTCAGCTCAACTGGAAGAAAGTCTCCATTTACTGACTCAAAATTAGAGAGCTTCTGGTAGCCTCTTTGTAAATCAGGAATATGAGCTTTTCCCAGTGAACAGAGATATTCAGCTTCGTCTGGTCACGAGGAACAAAAGTATGACCTTTCCAGCTCCTTGAGGAGTTGACAGATGAAGTTAATAAACTGAGAAGGGGATTTGTGCAGAAACGTAAGGGCAAGATTATGGAAAATATACTTTGGCTGTAACTTGACATGAATGTAATGAAATGGCAACATAAAAAAAATAAAAGCAAACAGAAACGGGTGTTTTTGAATAGGATGAGAGGCAATTAAAATGAGAATTCTAGGGAAATGTGAGTAAGAAATAAATAGTCTGACATAAACTGAACACAATACAGTGATTCCCTTTGGTCCAGTTAATAATGGTTTCCAGACAATCTAAAAATTGTAGACTCTGTGTGCTGCCTGCTTCGCTTCTATGAATAAATTCAGATTATTACTCACTGACAGTGCAAATGCACATTTAAACTGCTGTGCAGTTGGTGCATTATCTAATACTCAGCCACGATGCATTATATTAGGGAAAAGTGACTTCAGTGGGGTGCCACTGAAAAAGCTTAATAATTAAGAGCCTAATCCCTTTAGTCTGATTAATGTATCGTGTTTTAATAAGGTCAGGTTTAAATGCAAAATTGCCTAAACTCAATGTAAAAAAAATTCAGGGTTCCACATAATTCATTCATGTTGTCCCAGAAGAAATTTAGTAACTTAACTTAAATTTATGTGATTTGAACATAAAACAATTAAGTTGCCCCAAAACAATCTCACTAATGGTGTTGTTTCAACTCATTTTAAGTAGGTAGTTTTAACAAGCAGCAAAGTTATGATGCTTTAATGTGTTGTGAGTTTTATTAAACTGTACAAAACTGTAAAACAGAATTTTAAAATGCATTTAGTATATTAGTATAAAACAGCACTGCAGCTTCTCAACCACAGGCGATAGACTATATGGTATAATATAATAATATAGGGCTCCGCTGCTTTCATGCCTCATAAAAAATCCATGAAGTAATTGATTTCAACAACTTTAACTTAAAAAAGTGCAAATCTTGTAGCATTAGAACAATACGAATATTAAACTGGGACTAGGCAGATAATGAACATTGAAAGGACAGTTCACCAAAAATTGTAACTCTTTCATCATTTCCTCATGTGATAATAGTTCTACACTGTGTATATATATATATATATATATATATATATATATATATATATATATATATATAACTTATGGTTGTGAATTGCATTATAGGACCTTGATCTTTGCTGTGTCAAATTTAATTTTTAATGTCAATAAAAGTTACTTTGTTAAACTGTTGACTTTTGACATTGCAATAGTTTGAAACATTGAGAAATAAAAGTTACTTTGTTAAATTACTGACCTTTGATGTTGGAGATCAAGGTCCCATAATGCAATTCACAACCCTAAATAAGTGTAATAAGTAATAACACTTTTTGTATCGTAATATACAACAGTAACCCAGACTAGATATCACTTAAACTAGTAAATATATAATAAAAGTGATTTTTTTTAAAAGCTTTAAATGGTTAAAAGTTTTTGGAATAAAGATTAGACTCCCGTTATTCAATTCAAAAGCATAAATAAACTGGAAATTTTTTTATAAAAAACATGAATTACAAAATATGGAAACTGCTAATTTACGGGTATTTTTTACAGTATAGATCAGATTCCTTCCTCTATGAAAAAAAAATATATTTTGTGGAAAGTTGGAAGCCAGTAGCCATCAGCTTTCAAGTTTCCTAAATTCTTTACAACACCTTCTTTGGGGTTTAAAAAACAAAACAAGAAAAGGTTCAAAAACCAATTGAGGACAAGTAAATGGACAGTATTCAATTTTTTTGAATGAATCAGTTTAAAGGACCCAAATCCCTGACTGGGACATCCTTAGAATTTAACGTAACAATCCTGCTAAAAAACACAAACATTGGAGAGTTTGTTTCCATGCATTAGACTCAGCCTATAAGGACATTATTCACTTTTAGTTTATTGGAGGTGTTGGCATTTATGAGCCATGACTTATAGAGTGGAATTTCTCATATTATATGTGTAGACTTTAAATGTTGCAGAGTTAAGATCAAGCCAAAAGTGATATTTTCATATGTTGGGTAGCTGTTTTCATATACAGTACTAATACAAAATATGAGCATGAAATAGAATTAACAACCCATTTTACTGACATTTCCAGCGCAATGAACCCAAGCACATTTGCAGGTTAATGAAGTAATAAGAGTTTCAGTACCAGGAGCTCATCCATGCTGGTCTGGCATTTCTCCAGATTGATGCGTTTGATGGCCACTTTCTCCTTCCTGGGCACACAGTAAGCAGCCTGAACCACAGCTGTAGCTCCACTGCCTGAAACAACAAATTAAAGGTAAAAAAAAATATTATAACAATGTAAAGAGTTATATTTAGAGAACAAAGAAATGAATTGCTGTAATATTAATTCAGCATTACACTGTAAATTATGTATTTCATTGTATGTATGAAGAATGATTCTTACTGGGCAAGAATAGTAATTATTAAAATAAATAAAACAAAATTGAAATATGAATAACATTTACTTTGAATAATAATAATAAAAACAATGATCATCTTTATTATTTACTTTATTTATTTATATTTATTATTATTATTATTATTATTATTATTATTATTTATACTAGAGTTCTGTCTCGTTCTATAATTGGATTGGCTGGTAGCAGTGCAATTTTCTGCAAATAACAGCAGTTGTACAGCCTCTTAACCCTTCTGCTTTGTGTATTACTCCGCCCACATACAGCAACAAGCAGAGAACACAGCAGTTTGACAAATATTGCCGCTGTTGAACAATATAATGTACTTTTAAGGCTTTTTATGTGAGAATGTAGTTGATTAGATTGCATCTATGCAGTTTATTCAAAAATATAGAGTACATTTTAAATATGTATCATTTTGGAGATACAGCACATCAGTAACCACAGAATAAGCCCTTAGAGGAGTTGATCAAATCATAATTTAAACGTGTAAGTGACATTCTAAGTCGATCTCTCTATATGATGCAGTGCTGTATTTATACCATAGTAATTGTAGTCTATTTAGTGTGAGATGGGACTCAGAGATATCAACAATGTGTGTATTTTGTGTTGGCCACATTTATTTATATATATATATATATATATATATATATATATATATATATATGAGCAATATCACACGAGTAGCAGTGCGATATGGCTGTATATCGGCACTAGTGGGAGGCGTGCGTTGGCACGAGGCAGCAGGCCGAGTGCTTTAGTGCCCCCACCAGTGCCGATATACAGCCATTTCGCACTGCTACGAGTGTGTTGTATAAACTGTTGCGTTTATACAACAGTTTGACGGCATAATTGTGTATATAAAAACTAAATCAAACATGGAGAATCTAAAAAACCCTTTTGTATGAAGAACTATTTTTTTACGGATTCAAATCATAAGCTGACAGTTAAACAGCTCAGCAAACATCTTTTAAAATTTAGATCTGTAGTGTCTGCTTTTTTGCTGGCTGTATATGGGCGGAGTAATACACAAATGGTAAAGAGGCTGTACGGGTGCTGATATTACTTAAAGATATCACGGCTATCAGCCAATCAGATTCGAGAACCAGACAGAACTGTTGTATGTATGTGTATATATATATATATATATATATATATATATATATATATATATATATATATATATATATATATATATATATATATATATATATAGTCACTTTTTGGTTGGCCATCTGTTTGTTTCTATTGAGTCTCCTGTTTTCGTTACAGCAGACTAGTTTAGTGAAATAAAAAAAAGAAGAACTGCCCGCATGTGTTAGTGTATTTTTTATTACAAACACAACAGCAGTAATCTAGTAGTGTTTGGGCTGCTTTGGCTTTTTTTTCGGGGTTAATTTTTGTGATATCCCGATTACAACAGGGAAATACTAGGAAATCTCTGTAGACTGATGGCATTTCATGCTGTTCAGCCTTATAGTCTTAAAATGTCAGTCAGCAAAATCACCCGTTTTGTCATCACTTTAGACATTGCTCTAGATAATCATTTAAATATTAGCTCTAAAGTGACGTTGAGGAAGTAGCTGTTCTGACGTCAGCTGCAGATGTGAATGAATGGTGGGAGAAAGTAGTTCCTCATATAAACCTTTTTCTTAACTGTTGCATGGAGGGCGCCATAGCGACCAGCATCTTCAGGTAGAATGCTTAGAACTTTCGTTTAGAGCGTTTTCAACTGGTAATTTGCGCTCCGAAAAATGGGTTTCTAAAGCATTTTGAATGTATTTTGGAGTGTTTTTGTGACACACAACTTTGAAAGGTATGTGTTAAACCCGTTAATCTGTCAGATGTGGTTCAAGCGCAAGAAAAAAATTGGATTGGTAGAGCTACGCATCGATGAATTGGCTCTTCAGTGTTTGAACTCTCAGTAATGATTAAATCACACTGAACTGAGCTAAACTGAACTGAACTTAAACATTAAAAACTGAACTACACTGTTCCAGTTACTGAACCACACTGTTCCAGTTACTATGACCATTTATGTGAAGCTGCTTTGACACAATCTACATTGTAAAAGCGCTATACAAATAAAGCTGAATTTAATTGAATTGAAAAAAAACGCTCTCCTAGTTCACCTGTCTGCCATCAGAAATACAGTGTGTGCGTTCCCGACCTGTCACACACACACACAAAACACTTTATAGCATTATAGAGAAAACCAGATTACTGGCATGAAACTTAACAGGTATGCAAGCTTATAAGTCATGCAATTTCCAAAAATGACCAACAAAAGTCAGTTTTTGATACTCTGCTGGCTGATTTGCAAGTTTATTCTAATCGGGAGCGGTTTATGTTTCATTTAGTTAGATTGTGTGTAGTATTTACCACGTTATGTGTTTTTCTGTCACTTCTAAACGCCTCTTTATTTTCACTTTGTGCCAGTCTTTCAATTGATGGGTCAATGGGACGGGACGTGTGTGTGTGTGTGTGTATGTCAAAAACTTTAGTGAATTACATTTGTTTAGGTTGGTTGTATATTTGAAAAAAGTCAGAAACTGTTCACTTTAGCGATGGCGAGGCTCCATTAAAGCCACACAAAGATACAGTCTGACAGTAAGGGTAAATGACTCGCAGTAAATGACTTTCATACTTAGATCGCATTTTTTTTTAAATAATCAATCCAGTAAATGGTGCTGATCAACAACAGTATTAGTTCAAAGACATTAAAACCAAGTAAAATAGAGTAAAATTATTGTTTCAAAGCTGTCTGAATGTGAATGTTTACAGGTATCAGCTGCCAGCCGGAAGTTCTTAGCATTCTCCTTGCGCATACACGCAAAGCATAATGGGTAATTTTGCATTCTAAGAAAAAGGTCTATAAAAGGATTTCAAGACTCTCAGTGTTTGGTTTTCTTTTTTATATACACAATTATACTGTCAAACTGTTGTATAAACACATTATCACACGAGTAGCAGTGTGATATTGCTGTATATCATCACTGGTGGGACACTAAGGCACAGCTACAAGTGTGATATTGCTCATTTATGCATTTTATTATTCATTTTATAAATGTATTACTTTACTGCTTTAATATAAATGACATAATATAAATATACATACATTCCAAACTATAATAGGTAAAATTCAAAATTCTAATTATTTTTTTTAAAGGTTATACAAACACACACACACACACACACACACACACACACACACACACACACACACACACACACACACACACACACACACACACACACACACACACACGCTACTACATACGAGACGATAACCATTTTCAAGGTATACTGCGGTTTGAAAAAGTCAAGGTATTAAAACCGCCAACATTTTCTGCTATACCGTTTCTATGGTATTTGTAAGGTTTTTTTTTCAGTTTTGTTTTAAGTTTTTTTTAGTATCAACAGTATCTTCAGCAGTAAAGACATCCAAGATGCTGTATTAAAATGTAGTGAAATCTGTGTTTTTAGTCTAATTCATTTGAATTATTTATTCTGCCATATTTTCTGTTACAAAATATTTTTAAAAATTCATCAGAATAGAATATATTGTGTTTAAGGGGGGAAAAGGTTTTGTTTTTTACCCAGACATTTAATAACAATATATTTTGAAGCAGTAATCATAATACCGTAAAACTGTGAAACTGATATTTTCACCCAAGGTTATCTTACTATCAGAATCTTATACTAGCTCATGCCTATTCCATATATCTACTTAAATATTGAATGAGTGAAAAATGATTTCAAATCATCATGTTCATTATTATGACTACAATTATTTTCATTGAAGCTGTGTTGCTTTACCAACATTATATTTCATTCTCATACAAATGATGATTACGGTGTTGTGCATTTGGTTGTCACATTACATAAATTAACATAAAAATAATTGCTCACCTAAAAAAAGACTGTAACCTTTATCTCCAGCTTAAATGACTCCCTGGCCAAGTGTTAAAGAAGAGCTGACAGCTCAATGCTAAATCAAACATTCCTCAGTCGCTGCAGCATTGGACATTTATGCAAAGAGACTATTAAATCCTAACAGACTATAAGTCAAAGGATTTGAGCTCTATACTTGGCTTTCAACTTTACAGGGGAGGTTAATCTCCGGAGTGCTTTAATGAGCACCACAGACTGGCACAGGACAAAAAGCAGACAAGACGCTCCTGAAGACGCTTATATGGAGAACGCAAGGTTGTCCTGGTGCGCATATCCTCAATAAAAGAAGACAAGAGATCCTTGTAAATCAGTGTGCACCTATGTTTCCACTGCCGGCTGAATATAAATGACATATTAATGTGCTAGTAGGAGGCAGAGGGAATTTTTTAATCATCTTTAATCATCTGCTTGAACTCCATATGGCCTAAAAATAACAAAGTCCTCATTGTTTAGCGTTCTGTTTGCACCAGCAGGGCACCGGGGACTCAAAATTTCTCATTTTCAACATTAAAAAACTACGGGACGGAAAAGGCTTGTTTTGTAAAATCAGGGCCTAAAGGCTCATGCACACCGGGACTCTTTTCAATCCTGCTTATTGTGAGACTTTAGAGACATTTTTTTAAGTTCAAACAAAGCCACAATTTTTTCAAAGTAATGGTTTAACGACTGCTATTTTTTGCATGATGGTGTCCACGATCACATTAGATCCCTTTGTTTAGTCACAAAACATTAAACAATGGGGAAAAGAGTCCCGGTGTTCACAGGCCTTAAACTTAAATTTTGCCACATCTTCCAATGTCTGATCACTTGATTTACTAGCCATTTGAGCTCAAAAATTACAATACTGCAATATTATTTTAAAATTCATGAAAAAACATGAACTTA